TTTGGTCCGTGAATCCGTTCGCTGAATCTTTCATGCTCAACTTTTCCACTTTATCTGTTTCAAATGACATAGCACTTGTAAACCTTCAAATTCGTCGTCCCGGTATAGTATTGTAGTCCACATCGCTGTGGTTTACACTGATGAGAAATAAACTGCCTATTTATCTGAAATTTACAAGCGAAATCGTCAGAGACTTTAAAGGAAAAAGTTCTTTGCTGGAACATCTTAACCGAGTTTTCCACTACCACTGAAACTGTGTTTCATCACAGGTTCTCGAATGTGTCTTTCGAACATTAGCCGCGCCACACCGCTAAGTGTACTGAAGCAACGCACAAATTCAGTGCCATGATCAATTCGCTGCTCTTGCAGAAATACAGTTTATATTTCGTCGAGTAGTGAAAAATATGCCGTTTCATTTTGAGTGCTCGACTCTATTGCATAAACTTTCTCGGTTCGCACTTTCATTATTTCTGTTCTCTGTCATCACTTCACAAAGCTTGCTTCGTGACGCTCGCAGATAGTTTTAGTTGTGCCGCACCAGATGTCCAGACAATGGAGTGGGCAAATATGCCTGGTTGTCCTGGGGTTTTCCAACTCTCCTAACCCTCCAAGCCTCTAAAGCTGGTGTAGGATAATCAAACGACGATGCTAACTCCCCTTTTCGTACGATTGAGGTCCAACAGCTGCTGCCGCAATTAGCTGGTTCCTTTTATTGACTCGTTAAGACACGTTTGCAACACGGTGCTTCCATGCCTGGACCGAAAGTGTTTGCCATATGGTGGTCCACTTAAGCTTTGATCCCTTAGAACCTAGCAAGCTGTAGTACCTGAGTCACGCATACCAACGATTTCAATGGGGGAAAACGGATGATTTACGGATAAACCATAGTTAAAACACATTGAGAGCTGACTCTTTCGAAATGTACCGCTCAAACAACTGGACTTATAAACTGCTGTCCGACAAACATTCATGCAGAAACTAAACAAAAGCTTGATGTATAAAACAGACTGAATGATGATGAGACAGACGAAAGCCTATAAGACTGTGTGCGATCTGGACGCGGCGTAAAACTGCGATCCCCGACGAGAACAAACCTACCAGACTGAGAGATATTAGCATCCATGTCCAACGATCAAAGATTTTAGGAACGGTCATTCAGTTTGGCAATCCAATAAAACCACTCAAGTGTGAATTAAAAGACAATAATTCAGACACAGTCATCCTGGGCCTGTGAAGTGGTTTTGCTATGTTCGCCAACTATATACTGTATCCAAATGCACGGTTACTGAGCTCAACAAGAGGGTAGCTTTAATCCAGTATGACCCTGCCGTGAGCGAAACCAAACCGTCGGGGGCTCTACCGCCTGATCCACCCAGGACGTCTTTTCTCCATCACACTTATGCAACTGAATTTTTATGCTGATTGTTCACACCGCCTGGCGGATCCATACTTGGTGTATGTCAGTGTCTTTAGTAGGCCACTTGTGTGAATTTCAGAATGGGTCGACTACGTACTCAAACTATTTCAGTTAAATTGGCTATCTGGAATAACTTGACAGATCGTAGGCGTCATTACATTATATTATGTTGTATTAGCCAGTATACGAGCTTATCACTCCATGATAATATTGATATTACCATGAATTTTCATTTCATCCGAAGGAACGGCACAGGAGAACGAAAGCGTTTTGAGCCCCCACTGGAAGTGGACCCTCCCTGAATGTTTTTTCAAGCAAGCATTTAAAAAATCAGTCCTTCTGTGACACTTCCAGTCAAATAGTTTTTTCCGCGGTCGTGTTCACTGTGAAAGACATATTCCACTTTCATACCATAGAGAGGCGGAGTATGTTTTCAGATAATGGTGATTTTCACACCATCTGATGTTTATTCCAGGACAGTTTGAATAGTGGTCCGGAATTACAAAAACGACTGTCCATGTTAGCGAAATATACCCATAAGTTTGCTTTTAGCGGGAAATGAAACTAAGCTATCAAGCAGTGTTCAGCAAGCCAATGAGCAGTTTCTTCCAAACAAATATCTTTTCATATTTTCACAAAGGAAACTACTCACAAGGTCGCTAAAATCTCTTCGACATCCCACGACCGGTTTCGCCCTTCTTGGGACTCATCAGGTAGGCGCAGTCCCCGAGTTTCCGCCCTAATTTTATTCGACTTTGTCTCTTCTTATCTGCATGAAGTTTTGCGTCTCACACGGTTAAAACTTACACAATATAAACGTTATTCATTATGTTGTGGCTAGCTATTCATCTACCTCTAAAACGGATCTCACAGAGAAAACTCTCGGGCACTGAAGGATCAGGGAACGAGTCTCCAAAGAACACGTGACCCGCGGCAATACTGCCGGTTTCAACAGGAAAAGAATAAAGCCTAACGATGTGGGATGTTGTCCATGTAAATAGACAAATTCATGCATATTTGTATAAATATACAAATTTACCTTCAACAAACTGGGACATTCTGGCTTAAGCATCTTCATAAAACAACCACTCTCTAGTCTTGTATCCATCTGGTTGGATTTGGAAAAAAACTTCACGAGATGAAAACAACTAGCATATTTTGTAGTCAATTCCCTCGATAAAATGTCACTCATGTTGGACAAGGGAAGTTCAACCAATGTTGTATCCAAGACACCATTTTGTCTTCCGCTAAATCTTTGTTTGATGGGCGCAAGTTAAACAAGTCTAGAAGTTCGCTTGAACTAAAGAAATTCTATTTTATAAAAGGGGTAATTTGAATGGCTGAATCTGGTTTTCTAGAAAAGGTTCTTAATCAAAGATTACAGGATAACAAATGTTATGCTGGCAGGATGCACGCGTACGCGCCAAATACACTTAAATTTAGTAAACCCATTGGTCCTAGTTTCATATCGATTATGCCAGTCTGTTGTTATCTCATTGTGTTAAAGTTGCGCCTTTGACTTTCGACTTTCTGAAGTCGATATCTGGTACCTTCATCAGTTTGAGGAAAGCACTAGCGTCAACATTTGCCAAGTGATCTAGGATGCAGTCAGTGTAATTTCTTGTTGAGAACAAAGAGCTGAACAAATATGTACAGCTGAAAGTACCACCCATATAGCTAAGAAACCTGCATACAGTTGGTCGGCTTTCAATGGACATCCTCTGCGTGGCTCTCAAAGGGAACTGTGCGTTCTGCATTGCGAAGTTTCTATCGGCAAATATGGCGCTTTAAATCCATCAAAATTTACCCGAAGTTGAAATTTTTCCTCTGAGGCTGCTACGGAACATGGAATACTGCGTTTTGCACTCTGAGAAGGTAGGGTCTTTTTTGTCAAAAAACTGTCAACCTCACTGAGAATCATCAGCAGTGCACATTTTATGAATACTCAGTTATTTTCCTCTAAGTGGTTGGAGGTTGAACAGTTCAACCACAATCGACCAATCGGTAGTGAGCTTAACTCGATTTCAGTGGAGACAAAACATCTTCCATACGCGGAGTTCACATCACAAGCTGTCGTGTCAGCTGGTTATACGAGTAACAGCTTCTCAATGGCTGGTGTCGTGAACAGACTTGGAGGTGGCTTCTAACGAGGGTGACAGCTTTACAATACTTCGCGGTCATCCGCCATCGGGGTATCTAACCCACAACAAAAGATTTATACTGAACTTTGTAACTTCGCACGCAGGATCAATGATCAGGAAAACCTAATTTCCTTGAGGGGGCTGTTACTGAGAGTACTTTTCACTGGTGTCCTTTTGTACAAGGTAGAAAGTGGCGCCAGCGTGCCAACTGTAGTACAGGATCAATGATCAGGAAAACCTAATTTCCTTGAGGGGGCTGTTACTGAGAGTACTTTTCACTGGTGTCCTTTTGTACAAGGTAGAAAGTGGCGCCAGCGTGCCAACTGTAGTATGGGATATTTGCCAGTTTTATTGATTCAAATGTAAGTATTATTGATGTACAAAATCGCTTGCTGGGCTTCGGCTTATGATCTTTCTTTCTGTCTTTTGTCCACATAAATTGTTGTGATCCCCTGACTTCGAATAATGAATTTTCCCTGGTGCGTCAATGGCGTGCATACTACACGATATTTAGGCCCCCATTGCCTATATTTTCTCAATGGACACGGTCTCGCGATGTGGGTTGGATTTATTCGGTAAAAGGACATGTCATAACAGCCCAAAGAAAAGCTGTAAAGGATCTCGTAATTGCGCCCACAGTTTTGAACGTTGTGCTCTTCTGAGTTTTAATCAATAAATTTAAACTAAAGCCCAAAAATAACAGCTAACGAAATGTCGTTTCCACCAAGTGAATCCAGCCCGAGTTAAAAGATCAGAGAATCAGCTGATTCACCCTTATGTGAAATCATCAGCTGCGAACATTGCACGAATCTCTGAGGAAATTCACACTTGTAATCTGCGCTATATCCTGTCTACTCACGAGTTGCCCACACTGCATATCGGCCACTAGCGGCCAAACAGTTTGACCTTCACTTATTGACCAAAAAGTCACGAGTTTGAATTTCTCTGCAGATCCACGAGATGCGCGTTGTTATCGATTCTCAGTAAGAATAAAATAACTGTTTAGTGTTTTTCGGTCTTTGGATAGGGCAAGTGCTTGTTGGAAAATATAAGGAAGCCCAAGCAAATGCCCCAGGATATAAATAATTATGTGGATGGAAAATATATAAATAAAAGGGATCTGGGATGTGTCCACAGTTTGAAAACCACACAGAGTAACATATGTTGTTGGAAGAAATCACCAGGTTTAATTGAAACAAGCAGCTATGGCTTAGTAGTAAAGTAAATAGGCGAAATAAAGTAAATAAACGCAGACAGTTGGTGCAAAACTTTTATCCAATTGAGTGGAGTAGAGTGGTCAAGGAAGCGATTGAGCGACTAGTTTGAACTATATGGTTCATGCGACCAGAACAAATGGTCAGTTTGTACAAACCAATTTGACAGCATGTACCGGATTTCAAAACTGTGTTCCTACTGCTTTTACTGTAATCAAGCGATTGCGCTGGGTCGATACTGAAAGTCAGCAAAACGCAATGTAGGCAATGTGAGAGAGCTAATAAGAAACCAATTAAAACAAACAAATAATAGCCGGAAACAACTGAAACCAAACGATTTTTAGTGGACTTGGTCTTGCCAGCGTTTTTAGAGAACTAGGGTTTGTTAAATGCAGCCTTTTCAGCGGGAGTTCATCGCGCAACTTTTAGATCGCTCTGCTAATATGCCTAACCTCGTTTTGACAAGGCATCATGTGATAACTGGCCGAAAACCTTCAGTACCGTGATTCGTACGAAGGAACATTCTGGTCCCTGAAAGTTACAATATTAACGTAGCGCTCCAAGGGGTGTTTCTGAATTTTTCTAAAACTACCCTAATTAGGGAGATACACTCATTTGCAAACTAATTTGGTTTTGCGAGAGACTCACCAGGAATTTCTCGTTTGCGATGTTTCCAGGCAGCTGAATGTGCTGCACCAGACCGCCTCATTTTCAGTTGCTACGAAATTCGAGATATCGCGATACGCGAATATAAGTAATGCACTACTCATAAGTTTGCTGAAAATTCGTCGATAGCCCACGACCGGTTTCGCCCTTCTTGGGGCTCATCAAGTAGGCTCAATCCCCGAGTTTCCGTTAACCTTATGTTCTACTTGAAACCAAATTGTAGGAAAGTAGCGAATATGCACTCATATGCAAACTAATTCGGTTTGGCCGGAAACATCACAAACGAGAGATCCAGCTGGGTTCCAGGTGAGTCTCTCAAAAAACCAAATTAGTTTGCAAATGAATGTATTTCACTAAGTTCATGCAATTCGGTTTCAGTTAGAATATAAGGTTGACGGGGACTGCGCCCACTCAAGCAAGGATTTGGATAGGAAGAGGAGGCAGATATACGAAACGAACAACTAGAATGCACACGCAAGCTTTCGCTCCAGGACGTCTGTGCTCCCACATCTCTTACTACACTTAAAGTTGAAAAGAAGAATGGACCTGCTTCATTGCTAAATTCTGTTTTTTTCGGAAGTAAATTACACACCGGGAATGTTGTGGTACACTGCAATCAACTCCACGACGACTGACGTAATAAGACCAACCAAGGACGTTGTTTGCTATACTGCAAAAGAAGCCTTGTAAATGTATGATATAGATAGTATGATTTACCAGACTTTTTTTACCAAACCGCGCACCGCTGCTAACCGAACCAAACAGTGATATACTCTTTACCCTATGCGTTTAGGCAAAAGTGATACCAGATACGATTCCGACCTTATGGATGACCAAAAAGCTTGCACAAAGCAAGCATTTTCTGTGGTTCGATATCAAGTAAAGTGTGTACCAGTCGTCTATCCCAGATTGCGAATAAGGTGTCTACTTTGCGTTGTCTGTACAGTTTGGTTTTGGTAGTCACCGAACTGAGTCGTCCACTAAAGAGTTCCTCCCTCTTACACGCTGTGAGGCGTGCAACTCTGTCACAGAAAGTAGTTTTTTAGGGGATGGGAATAGAATGGTATTGCGGAAGATGTGTTCACAAGCATTCCACGACTAAGGTCTAGTAAAATTCGCTAGCGCGTATCTTATTGGCCGTCCATCCATTTGTACCGAACGGGTGTCCAAATCGATTACTCTCCACTGGAATTTGAACGCGTAGTTTGTCCAATAAGCTTCGTTCTCAGGAAACCCTAACTGTATGATCCCTAGAGTAAATAAAAAGGCATTTATGTTGCATTTTAGGTTACGAAAAATGTGGATAATCGTTGAATATTCTGCACACAAAAACCGCGTGGGGTGAGGTGGGCTGGGGGGGGGGTTAAAACACAACCATAAGAATATCACGACAGCATGGCTGATGAAGCGTATTAACTACAAAAATATATATAAAATGATCGGTTCATTTGGGACAAGGATGGCTGGGTGGGTGGGCGGAATAACATGTGTGGTCGAACCGGTAAGCAGCCAGTTTGAGGTGATAATGTAAGGTTGTGAGTTATGGAATATGGGTGAGGGGAATACAAATGCCACCAAACTGAAATCCGATGCAGGTGATCTGTGTTGCCCAGGAGATTTATGCATACGTGCGTGTTATTTACTTACGGATTGTTGGAACGGGATAAATTATGATAACATTAAATAAAATTCGGCCTGTAGGAGCTTGTTGGTGAAACTAGTCAGAGACTCTGAATAATCTAGTATAGCCATGATGTTTCCAAGAGTGGAGTCACCGAAATGAAAGGTGCAATGAGTGTAATGAGATCGCTTATTGCTGAGGAGAGAAATCCTGAGACGCAGACGCACAGCAGGTGATCAGGTGGTGATTAGGGGGATCCATGCATAAATCTGAAATTATCCTCAAAAAAACGACCAGACCTCCAGGTTGTTGACAATGAAATCTTCAGTGCTACACAGCGGCGGGCTGTCAAACGTTTCACATGTCTCAGTTCGTCCGTGAAGTAGTACGTCGTCCAAGCGGAGAGCTGAGTGACCTCTAAGGATAAATTAAAGAAAATAGCGTTTAGAGCGCTCATTTGAATCACAGTGGCATTATATACAGAACAGAAGTAAACAAGACATGCTGGTGTCTTGGTTATCAAAAATTAACACTTCCAAACCTATAGAGAATTACCAAGCCGTGGAATTGTTTTCCACTTAATTTCATCTGAAGGAAATCCGCTTTTAAGAATCTCGCACCGTGTAAGTTTGGTGAAAGGCTCCCGAAATATTAGTAACTCAAGGGCGTTTACTGGTGGCTCATAAAATGGCTGTTGTTCTGTTCACTGAACTTGGCACCCAACTGCACAAGGACCCTGTCACCCTGTTTGGGGACGAATTATTGGCCGAGTTTAGCGATAAAAATAATAGCCACATGATTAAAAATCAATTATTCTTGTCACCTTTGGACGGAACAGCAAACAAGGACCCCCCTTTCTCATTAGTGCTGATCAATCAGTCGGTTGATTTTCACATAACAACGACGTTCTGTTTGTTTTAGTGTTCCAACGCTTCCTCATCGATCATTCATACTCAAAAATACACAGTTCGCCTCATAAAGCGATGTGAGTGATACAGTTGTGAACCATCTAGTTGATGAACTACACGCTGGACAACACTCAATCCTCAAAAAGTTTCTTCTTCTTTGAAGAAATCGTACTCTCTCGTAGGCATCAACGCTGGTCTGGTCAATTCTAACACCCTATGAGAAAAGAACTGGAGAACTTGTTCAGTAATTATGATTATGAAAAATGGAACAAGTTGCCTTCCACAACCCGAGAAATACAGACACCATATGATAAGACTCCTGGCTTCCTTTTAGGTGTGGAGAGCCAACGATTGAAAGCCAACTTTGCTGGATAAATCTGGTGCGCTGTTTGGTACTTGTTAATTAGACCCATATGTTGATGCGTATTTAAAAAAGTGTGGTCTCGCGGTTCGTATATGTTAATGGAAACCACAAGAAGTAGGCTTAACCGCGAATAGTCCAAGTAAAATACAGACACCATATGATAAGACTCCTGGCTTCCCTTTTAGGTGGGAGAGCCAACGATTGAAAGCCAACTTTGCTGGATAAATCTGGTGCGCTGTTTGGTACTTGTTAATTAGACCCATATGTTGATGCGTATTTAAAAAAGTGTGGTCTCGCGGTTCGTATATGTTAATGGAAACCACAAGAAGTAGGCTTAACCGCGAATAGTCCAAGTATTCTTTTCATAGGTTCGAGCACTTGAAGGAGTTTTGAAGCTGGTCGTGCGAAAAAAAGCTGTTTTGTGGCAAGCAGTCAGCCACACTGGCTCAGCCCTTTGGACGAATAATTCATAGTGAATAAAATGATCTTGTCTCCCACGAGTGAAGCGAAATTGTCTAATCTAATCAGGGAACGTTGCAGACCAAAGGAGAAGGGTTTCGGCTGTGTTATATGCGTCTACAGTCATTGGATTATTTTGTTCTGTGTGAATTTTCTTGTACGGAGGCCAGCCGTCCCGAATAACCGAACACCACATCGTTTGGACAGATGTGTCACGTGCAGGACACTGGCCAAACGAAGGCATGCCCTGATTGGTCAGAATGCCAGCCAATCCGAGTCAAGCTCCTTTGACTCGACGCTTTTCGCCCCCTCACCGAGATTTTGACACGAACTTGTGGAACACGCTGTGACTACCCTATAAATACAGTTGTAATAATTTTCCTTCATCTCCATAAATGGCTGTGTAGAGCTACCGTGCCTTTTGATATACCGTAGTGGGCGGAGCAGGAAACCAACGGACCGATAGAGAGTTGCACTGCCGTTCATCAAGTCACAACAGTTCTGTACCCGGAAAATAACTACAGAACATCCACTAGGTTCAGCAATGCTCCATGCCTCTCAATGTCTCTACCCGCATTTTCTCATGGTCCTTTAAAGCTCGATTTAGAATGTCCATTAAGTTAAGAGTATAGTATTTCTTATCTATTTTCGACGTTAACATTTACTCGCTTCGTTTTTCTCTCACTCGGGTCCAGTATGTGTGAAGCGCATTGAGTGTGGTAAACGTCCTAGAAACTTGACCAACACTGTCACCGTACTAGACCGTTGCCACCGGAGGTTAGCTAACCTATCCAAGCATTCGCCGATGCACTTGTTTACGCGTGAAAAGTGACGAAGCGTGACAATGAGACTCGTCAAAGATCTTAAGCATGGGCCCACCAAGTTTCGCAATCGTATAGTAGGACAAAGCTCAACCTTCAAAAAATGGGGCTACTTTCGTTTTGGTCCCGGAGGGGCAGAAAGTTGACGAATGCCCAGCTGATCCCGACTATCAGCGGAGAGCCTTGTTTTTTCTTCTGCTCCAAGTATGAAGCAGCCCACCAAGCCTACCAAAGTATCACCACTCAGCATAATCGCAGAAAGCACTCCTTTCTCGGTTTTCCAGTTCATAACGTAACATCTTGATCGCTAGGTGCCCCAGCGGTTCAAACGACGCCATAAGGCTTCCACTCAGTTCACGGTGTTATGCGTGCACCGTGCACAGTTCAACAATCTGGAGGCAGCTCGTCTTTAGTATTAACATCAGACCCTACAAATGGATTGCGTAATGCACCACCCGTGTGGGAAGCAAACGACCGCTGCTCAGAACTTTATTCATCCTATCATGATGTATGGCCAAATAATCTTTAGGTTCTCCAGTTTTCGTGCCGCATTAATGAATTCAAAGGCTTCGCAGGTGTTCGGAAAAAGCCGTCAGTTACTGATAGACATAGTGTTGTTCTTATGGTCTCGCTGAAGGTACCGTTTGGACTACTACATCTAGGTTGGGCTCTAAATCAAGCAATCCCGTCAGGTTTGTAGTTCTGACGATAGTGAGGACTTTCCCAGCAGTTTCAGGGCAATGTGGATAAGATTGGTTCACAATCATTCCCTGGTTCCTCCTAAAAGGTCAGATCACCTACTCTCCAAAAGAGTAGGTGATCTGGTAATGTATACAAACGGAAGTAGTACAAATTATGAATGAATTTAACTCGTTTTGCGGAGTAGCACACTTGGATTTTTTATCGCTTGACGTTTGCACAAAACAAAACGTCTGATGAATCCCCATGAATAGTGACCTTCATTTCAGGCTGGAACCTCCTAGAGCATGCCCTTAACCGGGGATTCTCGTTTGGACTACTGTCGTTTTACAGAATGGTTTGTATTATGGACAGAATGTATGGAAAGAAAACTTCTTTCCAAGCACAAAATCAAAAGGACGGAAAATTCCAGAACTTACTGAGCACAGCCAATGGTGAGCGAATCGTGATCGCCACGGATAAAAAAGTTGTTCTTCCCGGACCACGTGAATTTCTGGTGCAAAACAAAAAAGCCTGTTGTCATTCACTGACGCAAAGTGTATTTCGTACGAACAAGATAACGTCCCTCTCACCCAAGTAAAGAATGGTCCGAGTGGGAGCGGAAACAAGTCACATTAGAGGTACAGAATTGCACTGGTTTGTCGTTGAAATGTAAACTATGAAAGTCACAAAAAAAGAGGGTAAAACACCTCAAAGCTGAATAGGATGCCTTATTAACCCTCGTCCTCAACATTACGAGCCAGTTTCCCCTGTAAACCGAACTGCCTTTTTCAGTCAAGTCCGACTAGTGGATCATTTGCAGGCGTCTTGTGATTTCCTCTACTATGGTTCCAATTGCAACACATTTTAGCATATATTCTACTATATTCTACTAAGTGTCTGACATACCGAAGTGGCTATGCTGTTCATTGATTGGACGAGCTTTTAGCAACACGCAGCCCCTATCTTGCAAGCATAACGGCTCTTCTAAGTGTACAAACACAATTCATGTGGCAGTGAAGTTTAGTGGGGTGTTCGTAAACGGAACCAATTACCTTCTGGGTTTTCGCTCCTCTCAGTCCACACTTTTCAACAAGTCCTAAAGTTTCACCGCCTTCGTAATGTCAACTGGTCAGGTACCTAACAAGCGAAAAAGCCTAGCGCCAAATTCTCTCACGGAACTTACATTCTATGTGCAAGGTATCCGCTACACTGACCTACAGAATGACATTTATGGGGAATGGTATTGAATTAACTATATTTTGGGTACATTGAGCGCATATATGACCACTCAAGAAAGCAAAGTGGAAGTTTACTCACTAAGTACAACTACAGTACGTAATGTGAAATTCATCCTATCACAATCACTTGGAATTCATTGTTACCTCAAATGCTGCAGCTGGCGGAGATTCAAGCCCCCTGTCGTCTGTCTGAGCATCATCCGAGACAAAAAGTTGACCGAATTCCTCGGAAACATCTATACCTTTTTCTGTGGACTCGTCTGACTCAATTTCGGACGGATTTTCAATCTCATGTCCCTGATGGACCAACTTCATCAACTCTTCATCCGGTATGTGCATCGTGCTTGATTCCTGAGCATCGGTCTTTGCGCAATCCGCTCCTGGTTGTTCCGTTGCAGATGCATTAATTGTACTGGAATCGTCGGTTCTCGAAGGTTTTACCCATCGGAAGACATAACACGAACCATTGCCGTAAAACCGACCACCACTGGCATACGGATGTGCATTCAACATTGCACCAAATGTCTGTAAAAGCAGGCCAAGAGCCTCTTAGGTCAAAGGAGAATAATGTTACAAAAACAGGCCTTTGAATGTGCAGAAACATAATGCTAGGTTTACGGACAGCTAAGGTATCCCTAGTTAAGTTGACATCGTCAGTGAGTCACTATCCTTTTGAAGAAGAAATAGAATGCTATTCTTTCGTATGAAATAATCTGCTAAGCCAACCGTCCCTCTTCTTCCGACGTCCAAAAGATGCGTCAGTCACATCTATCCTCCAAAAGAAAAGTTAATGAGCAGGTAGAGACATGACGTGATGGTTGCATATTAGCAGAACTCGGTGAACTCAGAAGATTTCGAGAGATGTCACACTAAGATCTTGCTTGCAGTTATCTTTTACTTGACGGATAATAGTGTTACTTTTGGCCCGAAAGCTCAAAAGAAATATCAGTCTATACACACTAGTTTGATTTCCAATGGCGGGGGGGGGGGGGAATTGTAGCCTTGGCAGATCTTAATGGGGGAAGTAGTTTAA